ATTCCATCATTATTCAACCAGCTTTAACTTTTTATACTGGCAATTGAGGGGTGGTAAGCATTGTTTTTCTTAAAAATATACATTTTTTAGAGTCTCCTTTATTTCATAATATTTATTCCATAAAGATTTCCCCCCAAATATTTCTGCTACACCTTCTTATATTTGGTAGAACAAAGAGGGAAAATTACTAGGTTGACCAACAAGATGGCGGCCAAAGGGAAATAACTCTTGTTTAAGTGGGTCTACTGAAAACTATCTATTCAGTGCATTTACTATGAGTTAGTAATCCAGAGAAACTGAGAGAGTTCTGAATGCAAACATGGCATGTAAATATAGCTTAACTTGAGACATATTTGTTAACCTAATTTACATTTACCTTAAATATAAAGAGTGATCATTAATGTAAAACATTTTCCCAACGCAACTTTCTGAAGTTCGTTTTCTGCTGCTAGGCAGCCATTTTGGATGCCATCTTGGGTGTCCACTGTAAATATGATACGTAGATATTCAGTCGGAGGATGTTTGACCATTCATAAGCAAAAAAAAAAAATAACGATCTACCGACCCTTATTTTTTTGAGAATGTTACAGGAAACAAACATTTTTTTTAAGCCTAATCAGAAAAGTAGCTGTTCTGTCTTAATGGCAAATCCCAAATCTCACGGACAAATCTAATCAAAAAAATATTGAGAGACGACATTGGTAAACAGGTCTGCTTTTCCTGCTTGGGTTTAAATAAACTGTCACCCACTTGCAATTTGAGAGTAATACTCCATGTGGGAAACTTAAAATTACGCTACAGTTGCCCACATGGGATTAGAAAATTTTATACGGTTAAAAAATATTTGTAATGTATTTCAAATTTGTTTGAAAGTTTTGTATTTTTCTCTTGAAAAATTTCGTAATCTGTAGAGTGCTTTACCAAATTACCATTGAGATGTACAGTACTTATACACAAAACATCTGAGTGATTATGATGGACACACTGTGGCATCAATGGGTCAATCACCGTCAATAAGCCCAAATAGTATTGTTATTTTTGGAAAGAAAAATCTGCCATGTGATTGAACATATGACCAAAGAACCATGTCAATTTTTATAAACAAAAGAGTTCTACTTCAAATTTAGATAAGTCATTCATACTTGTTTCAACTTTCTACGAATAAAAAAAAAGGAAGATATGATTAAAAAACACAAAAATGAGGTTGTTGTATTTTATTCAAAAGAAGGTGTGATAATTTGTGGGCGAATTAATTTTGAGGTGGGCTTCAGAATATCAAGGTTTACAAGATAAGTTTAAAAACCCTTTTCCTATGATGTATTTTGCCTAGGAGTTATTAGGGCCCTGCTTGGCGGGTGCCCTATAGTGATCAGTCTGTCTGTCCGTCCGAGATCTCTTGTCCGGAGCATATCTTCTCTCTCCTTGGCCCAATCTTGCTCGTACTTCACCCACAGAGTGCCTTTGGGTAACCAATATGCAGTGACTTTGCACCATGTTTCTAGGTCAATGGTCAAGGTCATAGCAGAATTTTATTAAAAAAAACCCTTGCATGGAGCATATTTTCTGTCTCCTTGACCCAATTTGACTCATACTTCACCCACAGAGTGCCTTTGGGTAACCGGTGTGCAGTGACCTTGAACCATTTTTCTAGGTCAAAGGTCAAGGTCATAGCAGAATTTGCATGTTTTATTTATGTTAGGCCTAAAAAAATTATGTTTAGTTCCCGTAAGCTGACCAACCCATTAAAATTACCCCCAGGCAGATTTTTTGTGCCAAATCTAATCAGCTGATTCCATATATTCGAAAAATATGAATTGTAGCTCTATATGAGATATTAAATATATCAACATAGTTTACCTTAAGGATAAAGAGTAATCATTATTATGGTTCTCCACAAGGGGTTTATGTGCTGCACCATTGTTAAAATAGGCTGTGGCTATGATTTAAATTTTACTGTACTGTCTGTATTTCACTATAACTCCTACTTTTTAATGACGAGAGTATTTAATTGTGTTTATACCAAGACTGCTATGCACCTAACATGTATCGATCGAAAGTTGACTATGCTAAAACAAACACAGTTGCTGATCAGAAACTATGATGTAAAGCTTGACAATGGAGAGCAGATGATCAATATCTTAAAAATTAATTATCCTGTACACGTGTAATTTGGGAGAAATCCAACAAGTTCAACCCGAGTCTGGTTTTACTGTTGACAAATTTACAAAAAATGACATAACAAGCAGTAACAAAATGATAATTTACAAGCATCCAAGTTCCTGTCCAGAAAATACATTCAAAATTTTTGTACAAGGTATACTGTTTTACTCTTGTGTGTGTCTGTCTGTGTCCGTTGTGTTTTTATGTAACAAATTTTGGTTGCTTTTTTCTAAGTAACTACTCATTGCAGATGCTTGAAATTTAAACACAATCTTCTCCAATATGCTATATGGTGGGATTCATTTTTGTTTAAATCTGAGATCAGCTTCCTGAATATCCTTGTGTCTGTCTGTTTCATACATAACAAATTTTTGTCACTCACAGTTTTCTTAGCAATTACTCGTTGGAGATGCTTGAAATTTTTAAACAATCTTCTCTGAGCCATGCCATACGGTGGGATTCACTTTTGTTCCAATCTGAAGTCATCTGTTTATCCATGCATTTGTCTGAACCAGTCATTGCAAAATTTTTATCACAGTTTTCTTAGCAACTACTCATTTCAGATACATACTTGAAATTCTAGCACATCCTTAGTTAAGGCATGCCGTGTGGTTGGAATTATTTAAGGAATCGCTGTCTAGTTAGTATAGTATGCCAGGGGATCAACAATAGTGGGAAACCAGGGATGCATAAATTATCCCATGTTTCCCACTATTGTTGATGTCCTGACATACTATACTAACTAGACAGTGATTCCTTATATTTCCATTTCATTGTAAAATAAAATTGTCGATTTAGACTTAAAAAATACAGACATAGATTTAAATTACATGAGGACTTCCATCCCAATGTCAATAGTCCTCGCCCACTGACCTAAAAAACAACAGCAGCTGCACGAGTTTTTCATGCATATTTGGCCTCCCTAGCATCACACTCGGAGACAGACGCACACAAAATGTGCATGCATACTTGTTCCTGACCTATTGACCTGCCTAATTTACATCTGGAAAAATTATCAAGAAATTAACTCAGCTAACTTTCAAGGAGTTATCACAGAGAGAAAAATTGGAAATGGAAATATTTTAATGTTAATCTGATGTCAACTTCCTATTTATCTTTGCATCTTCCCATAACTAAACTTGCATATATATTAACATATTAGTGTATATTCTCATCAGAGCTTGGGTATTTCTAGTGAGCATTGCCCCACAGACTTCTGTGTTATTTTTATGCGCTGAATTGATATATTGGGCATATATTGTTTTTGCCTTGTCAGTCTGTTTATCTGTCTGTCGTCAACTTTTACTTTCATCATAACTTTTGAACTGCGAGAGATAGAGACCTTTTTTGTATGCATTCTTCACTAGTTAACTTCTTTCAAATGACACCAAGTTCAATGACATTGTGACCTTGATTGTGACCTATATGCTAAAAATAGCTTTTTTGAACTTGAACCATAGGAGATAGAGACTTGATATTTGGTATCCACTAATTTAGTTCCTTCAAATGACACCAAGATAAATGACCTGTTTACTTTGACTGTTTCCTGTATCATATGCTTTAAACACATCTTGTTTAATTAAAAAATTATTGGTTATTTTCACAATTTGTGCTGCAGCAGTAAGTTTGATGAAAGCAGTGAAGGTTAGGAAGTCTAACACAAATTAGTGTTTTTGGATCACATTTCGCAATAGCGCAGATTCTTCCATGGAGAACATGGTGAAATTTTTTAAATGTGGACAACCCTGCATTATTGTAATAAGAACCACAACTTTTTAAAGTTCGCTTTGTAATAGGAAGCCATGTTTGGTGTGTGCTGTAAATACTGGTTTATTCAGTCTGGGGATGTTTAAGGTCATACGCAACGTAGTTTTAACTTTTTTGGATTCTTCCTTGGAGTTGAAGAGTTCCACTACATGAAGGACCTGTGTGCAATATTTTTAATATCTATATATGGATTTGTACACTTTTTCTAAAACAATTTTTGATGAAAAAAATCTGAAATTCATGTTTCATATTTTTTGTACATCTTTATTTGAATAATGCAATTTTTTTCAAAATTCCATATCTTTTCAAAATTCCTGGTAACGCGTGCTGATTTTTTGTCTAAGAGCATGTAATGATATTGTAAGTTTAAATTTAAAATACCTTGGAAAATTATCCGTAGGTAAGGTACGTTGCATATGTCCTTAACTGCAGTATTGATAAGCAAAAATAAAAAAAATACTGACATATAGAGCTTTGATTTTTAGCTCTACTGGTCAGAGACCAGAAGAGCTTATGTGAAAGTAATGTGTCCTCCGTCCATCTGTCTGTCTGTAAACAATGTTTCAAAATGCTACTCCTCCTACAGTTTTAGTCTGATTTCAATATAACTTTGCACACAAGTAGACTACAGTAAGATGCAGAAAATGTTGCATCAGTTTTGGATTTCGATGAACGTTGTTGTCATTTCAATATAACTTGGCATAGAGTAGACAACACTAAAATTATTCATTGCTGCCTGTTGCAAAGATTCAACTCCAAGTGCTACTTTTCCTTTGTTATATGTATAGACCAGTAGAGTTACAGTCTCTTCATAGACTTCTGGTTTAGGAATGTTATAGCAAACATCTTTCTAGGCCTTATGTAATTGTCAAACTTCGTTTCATATAATTTAGGGGTCTGAACGTTGCACACTTTTGATAAAATGACATATGCTTTTTAAGTAAGGACTTATTAATAGGAAGTGAAGTTGAATAAAAGGATGGTAGAGTTTTTATTCAGTTTTGTAGACCTGTAGCATGCACAACACAGTGCATTTAACTGCTTAAATTTATATATTTTTCAGAATCTTTGTCATGCCTCGTAGGAAGAACTGGAGGGTAGCTTTGGCAAAGATGGGAAACCAGAGTCGAGCCAGCAATGACAGTAGACTTGTGGACACTGGCCACATAAAAAACAGTACCAAGGACCCAACAAGTGACATGACAGTTGACGGACCTTCGAGACTCGTGGACACTAGCCACGTAAAAAATAGTACAAAAGACCGGGGGGATACTGCCTCCTTAAAAAGAGTACACAATTTGCCTTCGGGCGCCAGAAACATTGCAGATTTACCTTCGGGTGCTAGATACATTGCTGAAAACATTGCTATAAACTCTGCCAATTTGCCTTCGGGCTCTTCAAACTATGCTACGAATTTGCCTTCTGGCTCTACAAACTATTCCACCAATTTGCCTTCAGGCTCTACAAACTATGCTACCAATTTGCCTTCAGGCTCTACAAACTATGCCATCAATTTGCCTTCAGGCTCTACAAACTATACTACCAATTTGCCTTCAGGCTGTACAAACTATGCTACCAATTTGCCTTCAGGCTCTACAAACTATGCTTCCAATTTGCCTTCAGGCTCTACAAACTCGACCAATTTGCCTTCAGGCTCTACAAACTCTGCTACCAATTTGCCTTTGGGCGCTATAAACTCCACCAGTTTGCCTTTAGAAACATGCATGCCTATCAGTGAGAAAACATTGCCTATAACAAAATTATTTGGAACAATTAATCAATCTAGTAATTTGTTTCCAGCTTTTTCACGAGGAGTTCAGTGCACATGCAATGCTTTGATGTCCATCATTCTGCAAAATACATCTACTTCAGTACAACTTGATGGTGTATTATTTGCTGGAGATGATTTATTTAGAGTCAGAATCGCAGAATTACAATCATCTGTTCAATTTGTATCAAAAATGCTACAATTTCAAGAACTTCCGAGGTCTGTGTACGTCAATGACAACCAGTATGAAATATGCTATTTTGAAGAAATTTATGGAACAGTGACTCATATCAGTTGGGATCAATCATGTCAAAGTAATAATTTGAAAGAAGGCATTGAGTTGCTCTTTTTAAGGTACAAGCAGGGATTAATTATTGTTGGAGGAATTTGCTCTGCAATATATCTGAATGAAGAGAACTCTCCTGTATTTTTTGATTCACATTCCCATGGAGAGGATGGTCTCTCATCTGCAGATGGTAGAGCTGTTAAAATTACTTTCAGTGATATTGATCAACTTGTGGATTACTTGTTTGCATTTTATCAAAGTTGCAATATTTCAATGATAAATCAATTTGAGATACAACCATTGTCTGTAATGCAAAAATCAAAGGTGTCCATTTCAGGAAGTGAAAGACTATCTTTAATTGACAAGTATTTTGAGTTCCAAGAGAACATGTCAAGCTCACAAGCAAATAGAAAAGAATATATGAGAAATTACATGCGAAAAAGGAGGGAAAACTCAGAAACAAGGAAAAGTGACAATGCACTGTGTGGAAGAAGTAAGAGTAAAGCAAGATTAAGTAAAGACTTCAAAGAAAAAGAACTTGCTACCAAAAAACTTGCCAGAGAAAACCCACAGACAAAGCAGAAACACAGGCAAAGCACTTTGAAAAGTAAAACTAAAGCAAGACTTAGTAAGGAATATAAAGAAAAAGAACTTGCTGCCAAAAAAATTGCCAGAGAAAATCCAGAGACAAAGCAGAAAGATAGAGAAAGTGCTTTGAAAAGTAGATCTAAAACTAGACTTAATAAAGATTTTCAAGAAAAAGAACTTGCTGCAAAAAAACTTGCCAGAGAAAATCCAGAGACAAAGCAGAAAGACAGAGAGAGTGCTTTGAAAAGTAGATCTAAAGCTAGACTTTGTAAAGATTTTCAAGAAAAGGAACTTGCTGCCAAAAAACTTGCCAGGCAAAATCCAGAGACAAAGCAGAAAGACAGAGAAAGCAATTTGAAAAGTAGAACTAAAGCAAGACTTAGTAAAGAATATAAAGATAAAGAACTTGCTGCCAAAAAAATTGCCAGAGAAAATCCAGAGACAAAGCAGAAAGACAGAGAAAGTGCTTTGAAAAGTAGATCTAAAGCTAGACTTTGTAAAGATTTTCAAGAAAAGGAACTTGCTGCCAAAAAAATTGCCAGAGAAAACCCAGAGACACAACAGAAAGACAGAGAAAGTGCTTTGAAAAGTAAAACAAAAGCAAGGCAAAATCCAGAATTTAGATCAACAGAAAGAGAAGCAAAAAGAGTGAAAAGAGACAATGTGCAGCAGGTGGAGAAGGAACGTTTATATAAACAGCAAAGTAGAAGAAATAACAGAGAAAATGAGAGGGAGACGGAAAAAGTTTCTAAGGCTAAAAGAAGACTTGATGCAGAATTCAAAGACCATGAAAACAAATTATTGAAGAAAAGATGTTATGGAAATTGTTTAGATGACTGCATCAAGAAATTCCACGATCAAGTAAAAATTGGCCCAATTTATGTGTGCACATGTTGTCATCAGACTTGGTTTTTCAAAAGCGTTGTGAAGTTGGATACAATTAATCTTAGTGTAAGTAGTAAGAGTATCTGTACTGGGTTCAGATCTGTGGATGACATAGAATGGCTTTGCTTAACTTGCTGTTCAGCTCTGAAGGATGAGAGAATTCCAAGACTTTCAGTTAAAAATGGAATGATATGGCCTGACAAACCGGATGCTTTAAATTTACACCCACTGGAAGAGAGGTTGATAGCTCAACGGATACCTTTTATGCAAATAAGAGAATTACCAAGAGGAGGTCAGATGTCGGTCAAAGGAAATGTTGTAAATGTTCCAGTTGATATTCAGCCAACTGTGAATGCCCTTCCACGACAAATAGATGAGCATGTAACTATAGCTGTGAAATTAAAGAAAAGATTATCTCACAAATCTGCATGCTTCACAGAAAATGTTCGTCCCAATGTGGTGATAAGTGCTTTACAATGGCTAATGAAAAATAGTGAATTGTATAAAAATTCAGGAATAGTGATAGACCATTCTTGGAGAGACAAAATTGAAAAAAGTAATGAGGAAACAGTACAAGAATTGGTAGGATCTTCAAATGATAGTGATGATCGTGAAACGGAAGGAAATGATGATGGTTTTTGTGAAGTTTCCTCAGATGATTGCATTCAGGGCAATTCTGATACACTTGTAGATGAAGCAGATATTGATACAAATAAACTCTATGTGTTTGCCCCTGGAGAAAACCAAAAACCAATAAGTTTATTTACAGATAAAGATGCAGAATATCTCTGTTTTCCAACAATATTTTGTGGTCAACGCAGAGTTGAAAATGAGGAAAGAGAAGTTCCAGTACACTACAGTGATATTGCAAAGTGGGAGTTGCGCAGTGTTGATAGACGAGCAGCACAATCTGTGCCAAACATCTTTTTTAAATTGAAGAAAATTCAAATTAAGCAAGTTAGTGACAAAGTTAACTTGGCATTGAGAAGATGTAAATCAGATGGTAAGAAAATCACCGCAGAACAAGTTTTAGATCCAGCCTCTGCGGAAAGAATTGTGAGATTAAATGAAGGGTATTATATTTTCAGAACACTTCGAAATTCTCCTGCATATCTTTCATCTAAAAAGAAAGATGTTTTTGCCATGATAAGGCAGTTGGGTCTTCCAACTTGGTTTATCTCACTTTCATCAGCTGATACCAGATGGCAAGATCTGCTTAAAACATTGGCAACACTAGATGGAAAACCCCTGTCACAAGAAGAATTAGAGGATTTGAATTGGAGTGAAAAATCAAAACTAGTTAAACAAGATCCAGTGACATGTGCTAGATTCTTTGACAACAGAGTTCAACTTTTCATCAATACTGTTCTTAAGAGTCCTCATAATCCTCTAGGTGTTGTCACTGATGTGTTTCGAAGGGTAGAATTCCAAAACCGAGGTTCGCCACATATTCATATGCTGGTATGGACAAGTGATGCCCCAAAGCACAAAGAAAATAGCAATGAAGAAATTGAAGCTTATGTAGATAAGTATGTCACATGTGGTTTGCAGGAAAATAATCCTCAAATGAAGCAACTTGTAGATCTTCAAGTACATAAACACTCAAAAACTTGCAAAAAGGGTGGTAGATCTGTATGCAGATTTGGATTTCCTTTGCCACCTTTGCCCAAAACTATGCTTCTTGAACCCTTGGATGTTAATGTTGAACACTATAGAAAGATGTATTCTGATATTCAGAAGAAAATGAATGATTACAAAGATGGTTGCAGTTTAGACTATGAGTCTTTCTTAGAAACTGTTGTAGAAATGTGTGAGGATGAGTATATAAAATGTATTCGAGCTTCCTTGAAAGGTCCTAAATTGTTTCTTAAGAGAAGTCCATCTGAGATGAGAGTGAATTACTATAACTCATCAGTGTTGAAGGCCTGGAATGCTAACTTAGATATTCAGTTTGTACTTGATCCTTATGCATGTGCCACATACATTGTTGCTTATATCAGCAAATCTCAGAGAGGGATCAGTGCAATGCTTGATAAGGCATCTCAAGAAGCCGCAGAGGGAAATATGGATCTTAAGCGACAAGTTCGACATATTGGAAACAAGTTCTTAAACTTTGTTGAGGTCAGTGCACAAGAGGCAAGTTACTTAATCCTTCAGATGCCACTTACACAAGCAAGTAGAGAGGTTGTTTTTATCAATACCTCACCACCTGAAGACCGAGTTTTCTTACTCAAACATCAAGATGAATTGAATGAGTTGCCCAAGGATTCAACTGATATTAAGGCAGATAGTATGATACAAAGATATGCAAGAAGACCAAAACAGCTAGAAAATTGGTGTTTAGCTGATGTTGTGTCTGAATTGGAAGTGACTTTCCCAAAAGAAATCAGAAAAGATATACAAGAGGAAATGAATGATGATAATCCAGAAGATAATTCTCAGGAAACTTTTACTGATCTGGATGTATTAGTTCATTTGAAAAATGGGATTAAGATCAGAAGACGAAAAAACAAACGAGTTATTAGATATGTAGGCTACAGCCAAAAAACAAATTCTGAACAGTATTACAGAGAAAGAATTCTTCTCTTTCTGCCTTGGAGAAACGAGAATGCTGACCTACTTGGTAGTCATCAAACTTATGAACAGCATTACATTCAAAAAGCAAGTATAATACAAATGAAGCAAAGGCAGTATGAGCATTTTGTGGATGAATTAGAACAAGCTCGGCTTCTAGCTGAAGAAGATCTTGATGATCTGGAGACAGTAGCACCAAATACAGAACATGCTGAGGCAGAAGATGCAGAGATAGGTTCTGAACCATCTGAGGAATTTGTTCATTTTGATCCTGATACAGTTCAACACAGAGAATTTGATATTGGACCAGAACTTGGATTGTCCTCAAAAGTAACTGAAACAGAAATGAGTGCTGTACGCATTCCTGATCAGCAGTATCATAAACTTTTACAATCCCTGAATACTAAGCAGAGGGAATTTTACAATCATGTAACTAACTGGATTCAAACCAGAGATGAACCATTATATGCGTTTCTAACTGGTGGAGCAGGTGCAGGAAAATCAGTGGTTATTGATGCCATTTTTCAAACATTACACAGAATACTGTACTCAAAAGAAGGTGAAAACCCTGATGACACCAGAATATTACTTTGTGCTCACACTGGCAAAGCTGCATACAACATCAAAGGGACTACTATTGCATCAGCATTTCACAGAAAAATGTATCAAACTCAGCAGCACATGAGTGCAGATGAACTGAACTCATTTAGGACAAAGTACCGGAATTTGTCAGTTGTAATAATAGATGAAATTTCAATGGTAGGGAATAATATGTTGTCATTTATAAATGATAGACTTCAACAACTTACTGGGAGAAAACAAGATTTTGGTGGGATTAGTATCATAGCTGTAGGTGATTTGTATCAGTTACCACCAGTTGGAGACAAGTGGATTTTCAAAGACCTATCTAATCCTGGTCAGAGTTTAGCAAAAAATTTGTGGCATGAACATTTTTATATGCATGAACTAACTGAAATTATGAGACAAAAGGATGACCTCAGATTTGCAGAAATGTTAAACAGACTTCGTGAAAACAAGATGACAGACGAAGACAAGGAACTCATTTCACAACGTTTCATCAGGCAAGACTCTCAAGACTATCCTAAGGAGGCACCTCATCTGTTTATTGAGAACAAGTTTGTTGATTGTTTTAATAACAATCTAATAGAAAACCTTTCAACAAATAAAGTAACTGTTAGAGCAGACACAGATGTGTTATCACAGACAAAACTTTCTGCATCAATGAAATTGAAACTAGTTCAAAACTTGCCTGAAAACCCAGCATCTACTGGACAATTAAGAACAAATTTGGTTATTGCTGTAGATATGCTATATGACATATCAGTAAATCTCGATGTTACAGATGGTTTGACAAATGGTGCTTCCTGTGTTGTGAAATACATTGAATATAAAGAATCGCAATTAAGGCCTGCCATAGTATGGGTACTGTTTGCTGACTCAAGTATAGGTATCTCACGAAGACATCAATACAGGCATTTGTTTAGCACAAATGTTAATACTGCATGGACTCCCGTATTTGAAGCTAAAAGAACGTTTGTTTATAACAGGAAGACATATGAGAGAGTTCAGTTTCCACTCCAACCTTCTGCTGGAAAAACAATCCACAAAGCACAAGGAGCAACTCTTTCAAAGGCAGTAATCAACCTAGCACAGACAAAGCAGCGCAAAATTTCTCATATACATTATGTTGCACTCTCAAGAGTAAGGTCACTTGATGGTCTGTTCATTCTGGATTTCAATGAAAAAAGTCTTTCAAAAGATGAAACTGTTGATAATGAGATGGACAGGTTAAGAGAAAATAGATTGCAACTCTCATATACACCACTATACTCAGTATGTAAAGACATAAAATTTTTGTTCAACAATGCCAGATCCCTACACAAACACTTCCTTGATATAAAATCAGACCCAAGTGTTTTAGCTGCAGATGTTATTGGTATAGCTGAATCTTGGCTTTGTGAATTAGATTCTGATGAAGACTTTACTTTAGAGGGTTTTACAATGTTCAGGAATGATGCAAGTTCTTCCCAGAGCAGACCACATCATGGTATTGTCATATATCTGAGAAATCAATTACAGTGTGCTTCATACAAGTATTTCACTTCCAAATCTGTTGAATTTTCCATAATTTCCATTATGCCATCCAATACTCCAATACAGTGTGTAGTTTTATATAAACAACCTTCTTGTACTCTTCAACTCTTTTACGATACCTTGAAAAACAGGTTGCTCCCATTTGTTGACAAAGATGAAAAGACTGTGATAATGGGAGATTTTAATTTGGATTTAAGTACTGGTCAATATGCACATTTCCTGAACTTTATGAAAGAAAAATTGGGTTGTGTGCAAATCATAAACAAGGTAACCACAAAGAATAAGACACAGTTAGACCTAATATTTACCAACTTTACTGATTTACAAACAGATGTTCTATCGGCTTATTGGTCTGACCATAATATGATTTATTGTGCTGCAGATTTGACTTAAGCAAGCTTTTCTATGACAGAACTGCATTTTAATTACATTGTTGAATATTATTAACCCTCTCAAGCACAAAACAGGCAGTATGTAAATATTTAGCTTCCAATGGAAGCTAAATATTTACAAACTGCCAAGAGTGGTTGGACAAAACAAGGGTTGCCACTCATCAACTACTTTGTTTGTCCCAATAACTTTCAGTATGTTTCATATATATAAATGTATTTGAAATCGCATTGATTAACTTACTCGCTATATGGAAGTTATTGGGACAAAAAAGATTTAGAGTTATAATGCCCATGAGATGAAATTATTTACCCAGTAGTTTATTTATGATAGTGTGTACTGTCTACTTATTTATCTTTAATTTATGTATTGCTAATCCACAATTTAAAATCCACAACAGCATTTTAAAACTGTTACCTACTTTGTTTAAAAGGTAATTTTATTACCTAAAGGATTGCAAATTAATTCACATGCTAACAGTTCTATAATAATCTAATTGATATACTATAAGTGAAATGTTGTTTAAATTACCTAAGGTTTTGAATAAGAATGATATAATATTATTTTAAAATGTTAATGATATACAGGTATGTCTGCAAGATTTGATTGATTGTTAATTATTGTTTCTTCATAGCATTTGTTTTCTGTTGTGGCCACACATATTGATCCATTAAGTCTGGATAAAATATACAAATGATCAAGTATTGTTTCAATCTTATTTTGTTAATTTTTACTCTTTAGAATATTACATATTTTTGTGTATTTAATGTACCACATGTATCTGTTTCAGTAAAACATGTACAGTTCAACAATTAACATTTCATCTCATGGGCATTTAAATCATGATTTTTGGGGGTATATTAATGCTAGACTAATCTTACTATATTAGTTGTAGATATGTATATTAGAGAGCATTCTTGTACTATGCATAAGTATTTATTAGCTATTATACAATAATGATGAACTCTGCAATTATTATGACATTATAATTATGTACTTTCATGAAAGTTACATTGCTTTCTTTGTAACCCAATATCACAAGTGACTATCAGTATCGCTACAAAGACATTGTAAACATCCAGAATAGTTTTCTCCCTGAAAACAAACACTAGCTCCAGTGGACATATAAAATGTTTAAATGAACATTCTGTATCTGAAAAGACTTGAATACTCCTGTGCTCTATTACTTATAAAAATGTTGATCTTTTTTTTTTTTTTAGACTAATTCATAGTGTTACATGTAAAACAATAGTGTTATCTACATTCTGTGATTCCAATTAAGTCATATTTAAGAAATCATTTGTTATTTAGTTTTATTTATTATTTCTTGCTAATACTGAAATGTTTCTCAACTCGACATGGACAATTTTGAATTTTTTAATTGTGATAAATGTCATATTAGTACAGTACCACAGTCACCCTAAGAAACATCCATGTTTCTTTAACATGTTTAAGGATACATACTATAAACAAATTTTTTATCTCCCACACAGAAGAGTTACACTGATAATTTTTCAATATTCCTTTCTATAGAAATGTAATTAAAAACTTATTGAGCAGTAAAGTTTCATTTCTGCTTTTTTCTCACCACATTATGTTGCTTGGCCAAACATTTGTAGTTAAGGTCAACAAATATCACATCTTAAGTGAGACAGGCACCTAAGATAATTGAATTTTTTGAAGGAAAAAGTTTGTGTTATTTATCCTCAAGTAAACATTCATTATTCTGTTCATGATCTTAAAACCTTTATCTTTGTATCTCCTAATATGAACAACTTTTAATCTTTCTTTTCGTTTTCGGTATGTAAGGTTAAAAAAGTTCTAAAAATGTATGAATGCAGCTGAAAACATTTCTTTGAAATATGAAAAATATGAGTTCCATTGTACAATTTATATAAGTACATGTAGTAATTTTTAAAGAGTCACTTAGCATGTACACAGTAGTGTTCACTTTATAAAGACTTAATTTTTGACTTGATGGAGTCTAATATTGGATCTGTTTCATGACCCTGAAACCTACATGGTCTTTGTATCTCATTATATGAACAACTTTTAATCTTTCTTTTCGTTTTCAGTATGTAAGGTTAAATACTTGTTCTATAAATGAATTAAAGCAGCTGTTTCTTTGAAATATGAACAATATTAGCTCAATTGCACAAATTTTAAATTTAAATTACTAAATCACACTATATGTGTAGTATTTAATGATATAGAAAATTTTTATTCAACTTTTTTGTTTTCTTTTGTTTTTGCAATGCTTTGAAATGCTTATTGCCAGAGCAAAATGGTTTAAACAATGTACTTAATAATTTCAAATATTTTACATTTTGTCCGGTTGCATTAAATTTGTCTGTACAATATGCACTTTTCATAATATTGTGAAAAAGTTAGCTAAATAACTCAGTGGTTAATTTTTTTACATCATGTGCAGATGTCCAATAACAGTAAAATATGCTAAGGGGGTCAATGTGCATGTTCATGCCCCAAACCTATTACTACAGTACAATGTACTCAAATTTTTTTTTTTTTTTTTTATTTTTTTTTATTTTTTTTTTCAAGTTAGATGTCATAATATCTTTTTAATGTTGTAAGTGTCTGAAATCACCTACATGAAGTATGCACTTTTTGAAGGTAAGTATTGTGGAAAGAAGGGGTCAATGGCCAGCCCGTAAAGGGAGGTAAACCTTGCTTCTTTCAGATGATATGTAAATAAAAGTGAAAATTGCTTCAAATATTGTTATATCGTAAAATTTCAGACATTTGCAAAACATTTTTAGCAATCAAGTACTTTTGGCTTTCAAAACTAAACAAAATAATTTAAATCATAACATTCTATGAAATGTTAAACAGATTGCTATTGGACACAACTATTGAATGCAGATGACATGACATGATGATACAAGTGATTGTTGTACAATGATTAATATGTAACCAATATATACTATCAGTATATGTATATATGCACATTAATATATTGTATGATTCTAGATTAAGATTAATTTTTATTGCAAACTGCTGATATGATCAAGAACTATTGATTAATTATAAACATCTTTATAGTTTACTTGTTGTTCATTATTATATACTGAATGAATTTAAACCTCAATAAATTGATATAATTTGTTTGTATGTGTCCAGTTTTATTGCATAAGGTTTTCAGGAATAAGAAAATAAATTCATCACTACAAACGGAGATAAAGTTTTTTTTTTCAAATGCATAGGTATGAAGACCAAGGGTCCTTCATTCAGAATTGGGAATTTCAAAAGTAGCATAGCGGACGGGGCTCCAATTATATACATGTACTGAAAATGAATTAATGTCTTCAAACATTTATGATCAGCAAGGGTGTGTTTTCCAAATTTGTGCAATGTGTGAACCCAGGGTCAGGGGTTCCTGTGGGTTGGGGCAATACCGATTATTGCTGAATATTACCGATTTCTTGAAATGCATTTTTTCCTCTACTCTCCCTATGGGTATTAAGTAACTAAACTAAGCATGCTAAGTGTTAGGATGAGCAATGGTGAAAAACTGTGCATGCCATGGGCCTCTGAAAAGGTTTAAAATGGGCCTCTTGTTTCTATATATCCGCGCGCGCGTACAGCTTCGTGTACATTACATAAATGACTTCATGCAGTCTCTTAACCAAATTCAATGGCTAATTTTTATATTGAAAAGTTGCTTGAAAAAATGCTTTAAAAAATTTAATGTTTTATTTTTAATTACGAGAAGTTATATTTAAAAATATTTGAAAACCATTCATTTGAAATGTTAATTAGTGTATTAATTAATTTTAAGCCTTTTTCAAATTTGTATGTAATATAATTATATACAAAAACTAATATAATCATGTACGAACATAAAAAAATGGACACAAAACATCTATGATTTATTATTTTTTTTCAATTTATTAATCAATGCATAGACAAAACCGTAAGCATAATCAAATTGTAAACTCTGTAACTTGTTCATTGTATAAGAGTCAAGTGCCAATAGGTTAAGAGTAAATAATTTGCTGAGACAATTCAAATTATTTTCCCGTTATTTCCCGATCATGACAAGGAGCACACGGCGGGTGGGACCGGTAGGCAGGGGTTGCTCACTCCCCCCCCATGGCACCTGATCCCACCTGTGATGTTTTGGACGTCCATGTTTGCTCTACTCCTATTTTGTATTGTTTTATGGACTTTTGATCTTGAATACTGTTCATTATTTCCATATGTTTCATTATTCAATACAGATCGACCCAAAAACCTTCAGTTACATGTATAGTTACAAGTATGTTTCCCCTTAATAATACTTGATTTTAAACTTAAAAAAGATAATAAAACTCATCTCATATTTGTCTATAATAATAATGCATATTTTTATGAGGTGTTACAATGAGATAATTACAGCTGAAAACCCGTGACGGCCTCTAGAAAACGACAGAGCGCTTAAGCAAATGGTTTTGAATGACTTTTCTTGAAGCTACATTAACTATATTCGCTTTTCACTTCTTTAAATCAATATATATTGGATTATTTAGAAAACATTCTTCCAAAGTTAACACATTTAATCTGAAACATTTTTTTCTGTCATTTTTTTTTCATTGCTTATCACATTTTCATAGTAAAGTTAGCATCTACTGGATATTGCATTGTAATGTAGCGTGTTGCTTTAACACTACTAATAGTCGATGCGACTTCACAAGTGATATAAATGCACGCAAAATATAAAGGCTTTAAATTTAACAAAATAAAGTTTATTGAAAGTTAGTAATTCGTCCCCCTGAAAAAAGTTTAAATTATGGTAAACAAATTATGGAATGCTGTGGCTGTCTGTACCTTCAAGGGATAAAAGTCTATTACATAAACTGATGTATTGGATAATCAAGAACAAATATTCTTTTAAGCTATATTTATCTGTAAGGGGGATATCTTACCACATAAATATAATGGTAACCGTCCTTAAAGAGAGGAGAAAAAGACTTAACCCAGGTGGGGTCGGGATCGACTTACATCAT